GCTTACGATTTAGTTATAGTGTTTTAATAAATTATCTTATTAGTAACGAATAATATACATCTTTCTTTTCTTCCTCGAAATGTTATTTTTTTTTAATACAGAGAAATATCTATTACTTATTTTTATTCTGTAAGAACTTAGAACTAAAAAAGCTATTATATAATATTTTTATTAATCATCTTTTTATTTTGAAATATTTACATCAGAATTCTTAATTACAGCTACAAGCCTACAACCCATAACGTCCACGGTCTAAATTTTAGAGTGATAAATTTACATTCAATTATGGGTCAATTAGTTGTATAACCAAAAAAAAAATTATATCTCAAAACATAACAAAAAACCTTACATCTAATGGTTAGGATGTTGCCACATAAAGAATTTTGCTTAAGTTTTGAAATATAATTTTTTATGGTTATACAACCCAATTTCCCTTCAATTATTGTCTAACTAATCACCTACATAGTGTAACATGCGAACTGATAAAAACATTAGTCTTTTTAGCGATCATTTAATTATTTGTTTATGTTCAATTTTTCTAATAATCTATAAATTCAATGAAGATAAACTACATTGTAGTTTTCCATTGAAAACAAGAAATCATTTTAAAAGATTCTACCATTCTGTTCCAGTTATAAAAAAAAAAAGATTTCACTAACCCACATCATTACTAAAGCAAATAAATCACCACAAAGGTGAAGATAGTCAGGGAACCAAAAATATGTGTCCATGTGCGGTGTTTAAGAAAATTATAGCTTTTCTCAGACCAACATTTTTCATTTTTAGTTTTCTCAGGTCTGTAATTATCATCTCGCTCGGAGTGCATTCCACTAAATAATTATTATTACTACAAATTTAATTACAAAAGTCGAGGATAATCATATCTAGATTACAAATGTTGACACCGATTGTTTTGTATTAATCCGTTGTTTGATCGCTATTACGGTCTGCTAATATTTTGAGATACCCAAAAATATTATACAATTTATAGACTATTAGAAAAATTGGTAATATTTCATATTTTGCTTCACAATGGGTAATTTGGAGATAAATAACAAGCCTAAAACCAAACATATCAAAAGCTTTCCATATATCAATTCCATGAAATGATAACATTCTGAGTAAAGATCAAATTGAACTATAAAAAGGATATGACATAAAACTCAGAAAAAAAAAAAAGAATTCACAGAAAATGAAGCTCACCTTGTGGAAATGGAGTTCTTTTGCTTATAGAGAGAGTTTTTTTAATATTTGTTTGTGTGTTATGAAATGGATAGAGAGGAATCTGAAAGTGAGAGGTATAGAAGTTAATGGAAACCAGCCATTGTTGTCTTCTCCATTATATAGATACATCCACAAGTTGCAAAAAACAAACTTTTTTAATTTGCTTTTTTATTATTGTTCTTTTGCTTTAATTTGCATAAAGTTTTTTTTCTTTTTTTATAAGATACTTGTGATGGCATAGCGTGTCTGTCAGTCGTTAAGCCAGGTTTATCCAAAGTTCAGAAACTATTTGTTGTATAACTCCTCTTGTTTTTTTTTTTTAACTCCTCTTGTTTTGTTTATTAATGTTTTTAAATCTAGTCTTATTTTATAGGTCGATGTAATTTCAAAGTAAATTCAGAAAATTAATAGTGATTCTTAATTTACTACTACTACATACGTTTCAAAAAGAATATCAGTTTGTATATTAAATGCATTTTTTTCGACAAAAGTTCAGTTTTTATCCCTAATCTTTTGAATTATTAATTGGAGAAAAGCAATTATAAATATATTAGTGAAATGTGTTATAAAAATGGATGGAAAATTCTTACATTTACAATAATACAGATGTAATATATATATACTTTTTAAAAAGATAAAGAGAAATCTAAATTGTATTTCTTTTTTGTTTTCAAGAATTGGTTTGTTTTATATTATAGTACTTACTAAAAAACCCTTTTTATCGATTCAATAATGCATTGTTAAAGTAATTAAACCGCATTATTTTTTACTTTAATAAAACGGACCATTCTCGGTTTGCTTTAAGATATCAACCTATGCGTCTATTTCACCTAAACTTTGTTCACATGTTTTAATAATTGATCTTAGATTGTTACCTTTCTGTATAAATCCCTAAAACAATTAAATAAGCAAGAAAAAGTATGGTTTGGCACGAGGGCTAAAAGTGTCGGTGTGCACCGAATGAGTTCCTTCGCAACAGCCAAAATATGTTAAAGCTTTTTGGTACGTATCAAAATTAATAAGTCAGATCTTTCTCTATTAGCTCTTTTATATTTTAATGTATA